TTTAGGATTTCATCCTAATCAGTTACTTATCATGTGCAGTCACAGTTTAGCAGTAATCGGAGGTGAGAGTTGTCACACTCAGCGTTTCCCGAAATCAGGCTCGACGATCTTGCAATCGAATTCTTCTCTCTCAATGACTCCCTAGATAAGAGAGACAGCCAGAGAGGCTGATTGTCAAGGCGTTGCTCTGAGATTAGTCCGGCGACCAAGGCGACTGTATCGTCGCAGAGGCGAGGGAGATCATCACCAAATCGAACCTCCACCGGACACATGGTTCTGCCGATAGCTCACTCACGCTCGAGTTCCCCTCCGCCACCCTCCATCGCCAAAATAGTTAGGCATATATATATATGGATCTGGTTTGAGTGAAAGTAGATTATATTGCTTAATGTTATTTTTGTCTCTCTCTCCTCCCTCTCTGTCATGCATTTTTAGCTTAGTTTACACATACGACATGAATTAAATTGGATGAATTTGTTATAAAGCAGTTTTTGTTGCTTGTTTGAACTTTGACAAATGATGGAAGAACAATCCTCAAGATTTTTTGTTCTTTGTTTAGTATTTCATGATATAAATCTCTAGTGTTCTGATAAATCCAAAAATGATGCTCATCTATATTTGTCTCATGGTGGACTTGCAGTCTGGTTGTTTAAGATTTTCTTGGGATTTTCTCTGGATTTCAGTGAATTTCTCTGAGTTGAAAGGCGATTTTCTCTAAGTTTGAGTAAATTTCTCTGGAATAGACTAAATTTTTCTAGTTTGTATCTGTGATTATTGTGTAAATAGAAAGGCGAATTTCTCTGGAGAGAGGGAACGCCAAAGAATTTCCAAAATTTCTCTGGAGAATAGGAAGGTTAGGGAAATGTCAGAAATTTTCAAAATTTCTCTAAAAAATTCAGAGAAATTCTTCCCATAATTTCTTTGCTGGGATTTTCTCTATGACAAAATATGTAGAGTTGAATCTGATGTTCTATTGATTTGATAAACTGTCCCAGAGAAATTTTCTCAGTCCAAAGAAATTACCTTCCAATCCAGAGAAATTCACAAAAAGTCAGTGAAAATTCCCTTCTAGTCTAGAGAAATTCACAAAAACTCAGAGAAATTTGGAATTTTCTCTATAATGTGTCCAGAGAAATTCTCTGGATCGAATTTTCTCTAAATTGATGTTAAGGGACCTTAGACATTACAAAAATATTGAGTGCCCTTTATGCTATAAAATCATAATATCAGGGACCTTAAAAAAAAAACCCTTTCTAAAATAGGGGATGAATTTTTTAATAATATTTTAAAATAAAATTTTAGAAAATCTGCTAAAGATGCTCTAATAGTTAATACCAAAGTATGGGCTATCCACAATTTTTTTTTCTTTTCCCAAATTGAAATCCTTAAAAAAAGTTTACGGAATCATAATTCAATTTTTTGAAAATTGAGTATTTTTATTTTTATTTTTGAGTTTACGGAATATTTTTATTTTTACTTTGTTTTCAATGAATTTTTTTAATATTTTAAATAATTTTTTTTTAAAAAAAATTTAGACACACCTAATATAAATATTAATATTTGTGAAAATATTTTTAAAAAAATTCACTAAATACTAAAAATACAAAAAAAACAAAACAAAAATTTAGTATATTTTTCATTTTTTTTTTTGTAAAAATCAGTAAAAACAAAACTATGTATATGTATGAAATTAAATATGGGAAAACAAAACAAATAAAATATGGGAAATAAAACCAAACAAGTTGATATTTGTTCTGAAAACAAAACAAAACAAAACAAAAATCAGTAAAAACAAAAAAAAAATATGGGAAATAAAAAATTTAATTTTCTGAAAAGTAAATCCTGAATTCTAAAACCAAACAAGTTGATATTTGTTCCTCCTTTCGCACAAAAATAAAATATAAAAAGTTTGACATCCACACATGTATGAAATTTGTTGTGTTTTAAATTTGTAGAGTTTAACGAATTTGTATATATAAAAAAAAAACGCTATATATGTATATGTATTATAATATACACATCATCCATTTATACACATCAAAACAACAGTATGGAGAAGTTTGCTTACAGCATGGGCCTCGGTTACGTGGAAAGAGTCCGTGACCTATCCAAGTTGGAAAAATTTTCCTATCAAAAATTATTTAACTTTTTATGAACTTATATAAATAATTTCATAAAAATACGTAATTTAAATATAAATTTGTACAAATCTATTCATAGAAATAAATTTACACGAATTTACATTTAATTCACGTGTTCTTATGAAATTATTTATATAAATTTGTAAAAACTTACATAATTTTATAATAAAATTATAGCATTAGTCATCCAAGTTAGAGGTGACAAGTCGTGTAGTAACCCTACTTTAGTGTAGACAATTCGTGCCGACCAAAGATGATTTGTGCCTATGTTTTGAATGTACTCATCCTCTTTATAATGTTATCAAAGCTTGTGGTTAATATACATCATTATTATCCGGACTATTAATTTACTAGAATTGAGTATTTAAATTACGCCATATGCAATTAGTAATGAATTCGAGATCTTAAGACTTTTTCCCAATTTAGAACAACTCTTTTGATTTGTACTTAATTTAATTTAAATTTAAATTCTCATTATAATAAAAAGCAATCATCCTCTCCTCTTCAAATTAAATTAGAAATTACCAATTGAATTGATACAACTTAGTCTAAAGTCCTCGTGGTATAATATCTAGACAATCCACTATTTTACTAAATTAATGTTTTGTTTAATTCTATATTTTTTATTGAAAAATGATCGATCATATATCCCAAAATAACTAATAACTTCTCGTTGAATGGATTTCTTTCATCAAATGATGCATGTGGGGCAAGTCATTCCTATCCTGGACGAAAGCAATTTTGGCTCATATATATCTATAGTTGGGATATGTCAACAATCACTTGCCTCTTTATAGGATATCTTAGCTTGTAGCTCTCTTCTTGTAGGCTAGGTAGTTGGGGTTTAACAAAATTACAAAACCTTTCCCGGGAGGTTTCTCATAATATAATAACCTTTTTAAAGATCAACTGGTACCATCATACCACATTAGATTAACGTTATTATTACCGAGGAAAAATCTAATTTGTAAAAGGTATATGTACAAACTATTTTTACTTAATATTAGAAAACCTAATTCACTTTCTCACTACTACAGTTTATTTTATGTTGTAATTGTATATAGAAATTTGGGATTTCATAGTTTGAGATCTTCCTTATTGCGTAGAAGAGGATTGGTCTCAGGAAAAAACGTAGGTTGTTTGGTGGACAAAATGGTTGTTTACATAAGGAAGAAAAGGACCAATAATTGTGTATTGAAAATGTTGAATATATCGAATTGTATGAAAAAGAAAAAAAAAATCTAGAATGAGATGGTAATGATATTTTTGCAATTATAAAGTACAGTAATATACTTTTTGACTTTTAACAAATTTCTAAATCTCCTACACTTCCAAAGTAAATGCGAACTCATTGTCATTTCAAAAACCTCATGAGAGGTCTTTGTAATTTCATAAGTCAAATGTGATTAAGCTAAGGGAATTAAAATCTAAAGAAATCATAAAATGACAAAATAAAAAATCTCATGGCCAAGCTTTTTTTCAACTCATAAGTTGATTTGAGTACAATTGATGACCCATGTTCGATCCCCAAAATTTATATAATTTTATATTAATTTTTCTAACATTTAAATAATTTTATCTTGGTCCCTCAAGCTTTACAAAATATTAATCATTCCCATACAATTTTAAATATTCACAAAATAAATTAGCATTTTAATCCTTTCAAAATCTGTATAATCGTAAGTTGTCCTTCCAAAATTTATATAATTCTAATTTGTTCCCTTTGTAAATTTATTAGATCCTTCACTGCCTGCGATTATAACACATCATACAATCAAGATACATGATAAGGAGAGAGGGGGTTGGCTTCTCTCTCAAACAAGTTGCATAATAGGCAAAGTTTCCACACGAATAAAAAAGCTAGTATTATTTACTTGAGGGACAAGCAGGCTGATAAATTGGCTTATGTACTCAACTTCAACTAAATTATAGGTGAATTTACATGCTGTTTCATACCATAGCATTGTTTTCTTTTTTTTTGCTCAACTGCCCCTCCAAATTACATGCATATCTTTCATCCCAGTCTGTTTAATTGTAGCTTAAGCATTTAATTTGACAAAAAGAGAGAGACAGAGATTTAAGCCAACCAATTAGCCCTAACCTAGTTGGTTACCATGACTCTCTTAAGGGCTTAGTCTCAAGGGGGAGGTAATAAGATCAACTCTCTCACTCTAAGAGAGAATTGAATTAGGAAGGCAAACACTTGATGCTTTGTAAGGGTGTAAAGACTAACTCGTGTCGATGCTAAACTAATAATTAACAATTGACTTTTGCCGATTAAAAAAATAAGAGATAAGAGATTTAAGTCAAGAAATGCAAATGCATGTTCAGAAGGGTAAAATATACCTTTCAGCCTGTCCAATCTGCGAAATCACTTTTGCATGCTGTTTGGAAAATGTTCTTAAAATTGTCACTTTTCTGGTTTAAATTCATCCAAACCCATCAATTTTTTTTAGATTCTTCAACAAAAAATAAAAAATAAGTAAGTCAATCCCAAATGGTATGACGAAAAGACAAAAAACACAACTAGCCATGTAAATGGTTCAGACTTAATTAAATGAAGTATATATAACTACTAAAAAAAAGGTTAACTAGCTATCAACTCTTATATTAATATTTAAATTCTATTTAAGCTCATGCATACTAAATATTATAAAAATACATATATTTTCATGAACGTATTTGTATCTTATCTTTTTTAATTCTTTCATGCCCATATTGTAACCATATTTGTATCCTTCTGTATAGGTTCTCCATAGTGTGTGGATGTGAGTGCCCCAAATAATCATGTGACACTGATATACCTCTTTGTGGTACTCTCCTTTTCTTTTTCCACATTCCTGGGGAAAATGCTAAAGGTGAGTAAACAGTGATTTGATGAACATTGTTGAGTGAGACAGAACGGCATATGGTCTTATGTATGCAATTTATCACAAATGTTATAAATGACAGGGTCAAATATAAGTATACTCTCAAACAGGAACATCAGAGGGGTAATCTTGAGGGTATCTTTTAACAGTTTCTCTAAGTAATTCTTCTTGTTCACGTAGGTTTGAGGGCAAATTTTCATAGACATCTGCAAACAAGTCTGAAATTGGAGGTTTCTCTGTTTTCTCTGCCACTTGAATCGCATCCATTAGCTGCAACAAAACACCCATTCGCCAAAAGAAAATTTCCAACAGTGATTCAGCTTTGAAATTAGATATAACAGAAGTTATGTGAAAGTGTCTCGAAGTTTACCTGCTGCCTCACGTTGGCACGAAGCTTGGATTCGTCATCATCACTCCACCAGCCATTTCTATTGACCCATTTTCTAAATCTAGCAATAGGATTCCGAGCTGTTTTCCAGTGTTCAATCTCATCTGCTGGACGATACTTTGTGGAATCATCAGATGTAGAATGGTGTCCAACTCGATATGTAATCGCCTAACAGTTAAAATAACCATGGAAAAGTATCATGATTTTGTTTGAATGAGTTCAATGTATCGCTTCCATAGATGCCAGTACAGTTTATTTTATGTTGTAACAGGGTCACCAACATTTCCATATTTTTACAGCTCATTTGATTGAGGGAAGCACACTTGAATCTCACTCCAAAGACATACATATATCTCAAAGAGACCGAATAAAACGCAATGAAAATGCACAGAAAGAAGACACGATTAGATTCGTACCCATTTGTGAATAATTGCAAATTTGCAACCATTCAAATGGGTGCAACCTCGATTGAAGGGTTGTGCCTTTTCTATTGAAAATCATTTAGGTTGATCATCCCCTTAGGACTTGGATCCTCTATTGTACCAAATCTTGTAATGACCTTCTTGTGGTTAAATGACAGATCAATGAAGACATGATTCAACAGTTCAGATCAATTTTAAAACAATGAACCCAAAACAACATAGCTTTTTGGGTGAATTCAAACAAAGAAAAAGAAAATTTGAAACAGCATAGGTATGCCATATTTCTTCCTCTCCCACTTCCATCATGCAGTGTGATCCACATCCACCAGCGAAGGCCGACGTCCTTCCCTCCCTCTACCTCCCTCCACCGTCACCAGCCAAAGCCCCCCATCCCCCTACCTCCCATCACAACCACCTACCCACTCATCCTCCCATCATCTGTTGGTGGTTCAGAGGCCTGATGCTCCATTGTGAGCAAAAATGTAATCAATTCTTGACACCTAAAGTTTTTATTTTTGAGACTTCAGAAAATAAAAACCTCTTAGGTGTCGATTTTCCTCATTCTTTTAGTGTGTCTTCTTTTTATTTTTTTATTTTTTGGTGGGCTGCTCTGGTGAAAGGGAGAGGAAAAATAGAAGCAACAAGAACCATAAGTGTTGTGTGATGGTAGCTGTGTGTAGTGTGGTCGTGCGGACAGAACAGAAGTGATTATTTTCGTAGCCTTATTTTTCCCTGAGACTAAGGTTATCCCAATTGAAGAGATGGGTGGACTAGGGGTTAGCAAGCACTGGTACTGGAAAAGGTCTGTTCAACCTGAGCTTATTATTTTTTTATTTATTTAAGAAAATAAATTCACCCACAAAACAACAAAGTTTGTGTTTCTTGTTTTAAAATAGATCCGAGCCATTGAATTATGTCTTCACTTGATGTGTCATGTTGCAGTTTTGACCACAGCAAGCTCATTGCAAGGCGTAGTACAAAAGAGGATCCAAATCCATTTCCCAAGCATCCTCACTATCTCAAATGAGAAGTAACCACCATGTTCAATGTGATCATAGGGACCAACAATTATAATTGTGTGCTGAAATTCATTCAAGTCTCTCCATGTCATGTTGTGGCAGTTAAAGGAACAAAAAGAACTGGAAAAAGGAGATGCAGAATGTGACCGAAGTATGATAAAGGAAGCTTAATTGCATTTGCACCTCAAGTAAGATTGGCTTCTGTTCATTAATAGACATTTCACGTGCTGCACGAGTCGCACAATAGACAGCAAGAGCATCATTTCCATCAACCCGAATACTTGGGATTCCATAAGCTTGACCTTTTACAACCACCCCATCACCTGCCAATAAGAAACAAAAAAGATGTGAACTTATATGGATCACATTGTCTGAAGAAGGCTATATGGATGATAGCATTATCTGAAGAAGGCTTGGTTTACATTTTGTACCCCTTTACTGGTTGTTGAGTTCCCATTCACATTTTGCAAATAACTGTGTTGAGGCATGACAACCATTTCTCTCTCACACACACGTGCTGACTATGAAGCACAGATACTATCTGATCTGATGTGTAACGTGCACACTGTAATTAGGCATGACAATTTTATGTGTTAATGCGGGCCCTAATTTATTTTCTATTTACTGGTTAATTAGGATCTTATTCTTAGTGATATTTAGTTCCTTATTCTTTTATCGATTAAGTTTCCAAATAACATAAAGATTTAATTTCCTATTATGAATTAGGGTTTCTAACTTGTAAATATTAGGTCATTGTGTTGTAAAAGTTAGTTTGAAATAATATTGAGTTTTTAAGGCTGTGATCATTGTGTTAGGCTGTGATCCTTTTCTTCTTTTCACTTCTCTTCCCTTACAGTGTTCTACATCACTATCAGTCGTGTCAAACACTGACACACTAGGATACATATCAGACACGTCACGTGGTTTATGATTGAAAAAATAGTATATTCTATATCGAGTAAAGTTTAAGTTACATTTGGTTGTTTTTTCATATTAAATTAGTGCTAATTTTTCATTATTTTTAAATTATTTGTGGATGTAATATTCATATACATAGCAAATAAAAATATAATTTTTTGCTGTATCTCCACTGTGTCCCTATTTTGATTTTTTGAAAATTGCCGTGTACGGTGTTGGTGTCTGTGTCCCTGCTTCTTAGCATGTTGATGTGCACTGTGAGCACACTGCACAGCTGCACAACGGAAATTCCATTATTTTTTTCTTGCATGAACTGGTAGTGGTGTTTCTGCCACTTACACAAAGGGAACACAATCTATACAAAAACAGGATTCCAAAGGTAATGCAGCCTTTAACATAAAAGAGAGAGATAACAGGGTTGATTAAAAGAAATACTTCGAAACTGCTCTGATATAGGGGTGCTGATGGCCCATCCATTGTTGCGGCAAATGAAAATGACTGGGGCTTCCGTAACTGCTGCAAAATTTAAACCAGCATGGAAATCTCCCTAAAAACATTCAGGCACATATTAGAAAACAACAAACAACCAAGCTCTTGGTTTCCAGATGAAATGGTTAAACACAAAGAAGAGAGAGAATGAATGAGAGATAGAGACTAGGACATTGTTCAGCATTTTTTAAATAGTTTTCTTTCAATGAACTCAAAAATTGTACAGTTATATTAATTCATAGAAGCCAAGAAATACTTCCAGAATCATATTATTACCTCACTGCTGCCACCATCCCCAAAATAAGTGACGGCACATGCATTCTTTCTATCCATTTTGAGAGAATAAGCAGCACCCACGGCTTGAGGAAGCTGAGTACTAAGGAACACAAATAAAAACAAGTACTTTCAGAATGGTTGATCTTGATCGATGCTACAATAATTCTATAGGAACATAACGTGCCAAAGGTGCTTAGATCTTACGCGATAGGTGATGAAACATTGAAGTAATTGAGCACACTGGATCCATAATGAATTGGCATTTGCCTTCCTTTCCCATAATCAGCCTTGTTCCCAAAACATTGGTTGGCAAATTCTTGCAAGGTGAAACCACGCCACAACAGAACACCATGTTCCCTGTACTGCATTGCATTATACATGCCCATTTACATCATTCTCTATCGTGGTCTTCCTAATATATCCAACCAATTATTGAAAACCTATCCATCACATGGAGGGGTCTAAAAGAAAATATGAAAAACTGAAATCAAAATAATTGGATGGTCTTCAAAGCTAACACATTTCTGGGGTTTGGGTTGGAGTTTTATCTTCTATGGATATGAACTTGGCTTCAAATCATTCTATTTATGAGAGTTGAAGATGAATGACTGAAGCATTGAAATTAAGATCAAGCCGCATAAGCTGACAAAGAACAGAAATACATATGGTTAGACATTTTGAAAACATAGGTAGTGGAGAAATGGAACTACAGTAGCAAGTCAGCAACCTGAAGGTGGTAAAATGAGGAAAGGAATTTGTGAGCAATATATACAACAGTGTTGTTGTTCATGGTATGTATGACTCTATATCATATGGCTCCTAACAGATTGAAATCTGTTGCTGATATTGCATAGTATATTGTGATACTAATTAATTGGTTGAGAAGAAAGAAATAAGTAACCTTTGAAAATTGATCTCTAATTCATCCTAGTTTCTTACCTGAGGCAAGACAATATCGTCTTGGGTGAGTGCAGCAGCCGATGCAATGTTGATAGCCTCTTCTCCATATGAGGTGAGATAGAAGGAAATTCTTCCTTGCCTTTGTGCTTCATAGAAGATGTTGTCCATAGTTTGAAGGGTAACCATACTACTATACATCTTCAATGCATCATCCTTGCTCACCTAATGAATGTGATAGCTGACAAATTAGCAAAAGACAATGTGTTTGCATGCAATCTAAATAATCAAATTAACCAAAGCTGAATTGTATAATTCTAAAATTTTCAGCCCTTAAAGTTGCATTTGGATCTTGAATTTGTAGAGGGATTTATGGAGGGAAAGGGAAGGGATTTGTTGGGGTAAAAAAAGAGAGCTTAAATCACTTTTTCCCTTCCCTTTCCTTTTCCCACCACAAATTTGAAATCCAAAAACAGCCTAAAGAGAAACTTATAAAATATTGCAAACTTGGATTTTTTTTTTTTTTTCTTTCTCTTTCTGACTTGGTACCAATCACAAGTGAGTAGGGGTTGTGGGGGTGATGTTTTGTAGGGGTCTGAATCTTTGTTATTTCTCTTCCCTTTCCTTTTCCCACCACAAATCCAAAATCCAAAAGCACCCCAAAGAGAAACTTAGAAAATATTGCGAACTTGGTTTATAGACTGGGTTTCATCAGGTTTTAAGTTATTTCAGGAAAGTAAAATGTACACAATGGCTAGAAAATCATGAAAAATACAACATTTATTGTGCATAGTTCTAACAATATGGAGTTGGTTAACTAGATCTGAATGGATATATATACCTGTCGAAAGCCGCTGTTCATTATGGGATGGCCATTGTCATCAAGAACTCGATAACAAGGTATCCTCTTCATTGGAAACTCAGAATTAAAATTCATTGCTGAAGTAAATCTTATTCTTCCACCAGGAAAGTCCTGCCCCTGCTGCATCAAGTGTAATCAAAATGAATGAAAGGTAAAATAAATGAAGACTCTTTTTACCTTTTATTTTATTTTTTATTTTTTATTTTTTTTAATTTGAACAAAGACTCTTTTTAACTAGTTCTATAGAAACCTAAAATCCTACTTCCATATCAAAAGTGATAAACTAGATACACAAAAATATTTACACAAAAAGGAACTTTAAAAAATAAGATTTAGAAAGCTCATGCCATCATACAATTTCAAGAAAAACCCAGTGTGGAAATTAACTGCTATTAAGGAATTAGCTAATTTCGGTGCTTTTCCTGATTGGATCAATGTTAGTTTTAACATCGATTTACAAAAAGGGTTTATAGATTCTTAATTCATAGAAATAAGTAAATAATATTCCATGGCATCAATAGGAATAGAAACTCTGTTTCATATCGAATTTTGGGTCTGCAGATAGAGCTATATACATTCCTAAATTCATGTTAGTATTAAGTAGAACTCTCATCATCATCACGACACACATGAATTTAAACAAACAATTAATATGCAAGTACTTTCTTCACCATTCTATCAACATTTCCCAAAAAAAATCACCTGAATGTTTTCATTTGGGTGATCGTTATGAATCGAATAAAGCTCTTGTTCTTGAACTTTCGTTGATTCAAACCGATGAATAGAGAAAATGGAAGGAGAAACACAAGCGATTGGAGGTAGAGTTGTAGAAAGTGAATTGCGAAGGTGTTGTTTATTGACAAGTTTCATCAAACCCATCTTTCTGCTCCAGCGATGGCCAAACATTCTTGGAATGGTGTACAAAATAAATATATATATATATATATATATATATATGTATGCACAGCAGTGATTATGGTGCATCATTTGAGGTGTATTATGGTCTTATTTTTATGATCCAAACCGTCCATTTTGTAGGATTTGTTGAGTACTTCATACCTACTAAAAATCATATTAATTGGATATCAATAACTATATGATCGATAACCAAAAAAATAAATAATAAGTTTTATTTTGAGAAATAACATAAATAATATGCAATTCGATCATATAGTTGTTGATATCCGATTAATATGATTTTTAGTAGGCATGAAGTACTCAACAAATCCTACAAAATGGACGGTTTGAATCATAAAAATAAGGCCATAATATACCTCAAATGGATGCACCACAGTTATTGCTATGCCTCACGCATTAACCTAGGGCCTAGCAAACAATAAAAACTACCAGATAAGGTGTCAAATCAATAAAAAAAACAAATTTATATACCAACCAACCCCGTGGACTCATTGGATTGGGGAGTGGGTTCGTTTTTTTGATTTTTTGATTTTTTTTTATTATTTTAATTTAGAATTAAAAAGTTTAATTTGAGAAGAGTTTTTAATTTTTTTGTCTTTTTTGTGAAAAAAAAAATGTAATAATTATAAATTAAATGTCATGTTTTATTTTATTGGGATTAAAAAATTTATTTTATTTTTTGTAATTATTTTAATCCTAAATTCACTTCCCAAACTATCCATCACTCGGTGGTTGTAAGAGATTATTTAAATATATATATATATATATTTTTTTTTTAAAATTTTTATAAAAAGTTATGCAAAAAAAATAAAGAAATAATATAATCTTAAAAAAATAAAAAGATAAATAAATGTACTTTTGTATTTTTAACCAAACAACCCCTTGATGTAAAAAAGATTATTAGCTAATGATTAAACAAGATATAAGAAAAAATTTGTTTTAAATATTTTTATTGATGGTTAAAACTTAAAAAATAAGTCTAACCTTTAGACTTTAATAGGAATGTTTTTAAAAAAATGATATATGTGTATATATATATTTTTATAGTTATAACAGTTTTGTAAAGAGGATATATGATGGTTTAAAAGGTGGAAGAAAAAAAAAACTTTTTTCTAAAATTAAAATAAAAACTGGAGGGTGTGGGGTTGATATCAAAAAATATATATAGGTTTTGTATTGTTTCCACCTTTTTTATTTTGTAAAAAATATTAACTCATAGAATTTACACTGAAGTCTAAATCACAAATCTAAAAAAAAAAAATGACTATAATAATAAATTATATAATCAATTGGGCTAGTTTGATTGGCTAAAACTCCTACATCTCACTAGGAAGTCACTAGTTTAAATCTCTAGGCGCTTTGGCAAGTTTATAAAAAGCCAATTTTTTAAATTTTTTAACTTTTTTTACTATTTCATGTGAGAGATGATATAATCTAAAATTGATTAAAAACTGGCTTTTAGTTTTTTATGCATGTTACCAAAACAGTCCACAAATAAACCAAAAAAGCCACACAAAAAATCAAGGTTTTGCCAACTTTCCAAAACACCATTAATTAAGATTTTTTTTCACGCTTTGAGATTGTCTTTATAAAATTAATACAATAAACCCCTCCAAAAGCAGATTTTGAATGTGCAAGGGGTACAACAATGACCGTTGTGCGTCTAATATGGGCATGTTTTCAGTTCAATTTTGATATTGGAATCGTTGTACGTCTTTTATGGAGCACGTTTTCAGTTCATTTTGATAATTAAAATTGTTAATTTTGTAAAAAAATATGCTCGTCAAATTTAAATTAATCGAACATTGATGACTCTTTATCAAATTACATTTGTAAATAAAAAATAAATAGTAATATAAATATAATTCGATAAAAGAGTTACAAATATATGATAAAATTAATTTTTTTATAAATATATTTTGATATGGGTAAGCCCATAAAGATTATAACCCACCATTTAGGGCCCAATACATAACTCACATACTAAAGCCTAGCATGGCTGAAGCCCCACATATCAACGAGAACCAATGACATCAAGACACATGACAAGAGAAGGGCAAGCCACATAAGCAGACAAAGATCTACAAAGTTATTGCCATTGCACATTGCCATTAATGAAGTCTCTTACAGTATTTATTGCGATAACCCCCCTCCATCGGGACAAAACGACTTCACCATGAACAGGGTACGGTAGAGCATAGACTTTCGGCCAAGGTGACAAGTCGGAAAGGACAACGAAATGATTACCAGAGGATATAAACAGACGTCGAAGACGGGAAGAAGGTTAAGCTTTCCATCTCTAATTCATCTCTGCATTCTACTTCTTTCTTTAACTTGCTTGTCGGAGGGTTCGCTGGGGGACTCCCCGTTTCCCGTTGAACTATTGTGCAGGTCTTCTGGTCGGCTTGGTCATTCGGACATAGGCTTGAGGAGCGTGGATCAGTCCGACCCGTTCCACCTGGTTCAAACGGTGTCATCAGTTGGCGCCGTCTGTGGGAACTCTCTTACTCCGCGCGCCAGTTGCGCTCATTGTCGCCGACGGCCCTTTTCCAGTAACCCCTTCCTACTACCTGCGAAGGTGGATGGTCACAACTAGATCCATGGCTTCCCACCCCAATGTTCCCGATCACCAAGCTGACCCTTCCAATCCAAACAACCCACCACAGTACTTTACCGAGCTCACCAATAGCATTAACTGCCTAGCCGAGCAGAACCAAGCTTTGATTAATACCCTACTCCAAAGAAACCTTCCCATGCCCCCTCCACCACCTCTAGATATTCCACCCAACCAAGAACGAGCACCGAGCCATACTATCCAGCAGCCCTATCCACCCAACTTGGAGGGCTTGCGACCCCTTCCCCCAGATATAAATCCACCACCCCGGGCCCCGCATCCGTCGGCCCCGGCACCAACCCCTAAAGGAAAGGCCAGCAGCGTCCAGCCCCCGTTGCCTTCCTGTGGTGACAACATTCCTCTTTGGGATGCAAAACTCCAAGCCATGAACCTCCAGCTCCAAGGAGTCATGCAAAACATACAACATAAACCTTTTACCACAGTCAACTCCCCGTTCGTTGCCTCCATCAGGGATAAACCTCTGCCCCCCAAGTTCAAGATGCCCACAATCGACGGGCTTCAAGGTTTATCCCTTACGGGCTTTCCCTGTAACACTCAAGGGGTCGGCTCAACTCTGGTTTAGTCAACTGCCAGCAGACTCTATTTCCACTTTCCAGCACCTCAGTGATTCCTTTCTCAGCCATTTCATTGGAGCCCAATGCCAGAGGCGTCCGACAACCCAACTCCTCAACATTCGTCAGACTGAGGGGAGTCACTACGCAACTTTGTCACCCGCTTCAACACCGAAGCCCTACAGGTGGAAGAAAACGATGACAAGGTCATCCTCACGGCGTTCATGGCCGGCCTACGATCATCTGATTTCCTTTTCTCCCTCTCTAAAAACCCTCCGACCTCCATGGCAACCCTACTTTCCAAAGCCCAAAAATACATGAACGCTGAAAACTTCCTAGCCGCTCACCAAGACCCTACAGCCAAAAACCCGACCCACAGGGAGAAGAGAAAGGACTCAAAAACAAGAAACACCCAATACAATAACCAAACACCTCAGTATACCGACCGACCCCCTGAGCCGACCGGTCGGCACTAACCCGATCGCCCGGCCGGTTCGAACAGTACACACCCCTCAATTCCCCATGGAACAAGTCCTCAATTAGATCCAACGAAACTACCCCCTAAAATGGCCCCAACCATCACGGTCTCCTTCCAATCGGCGGGACTAGTCCAAATATTATCGTTTTCACCAGGACCACGGCCATAATACTGAGGAGTGTGTTAACCTCAAAGATCAGGTCGAGGGCTTGATACGTCAGGGACGTCTCAATCGATTCACAAAAACCCGTCCTCAACAAAGGCAAAGGACTAAACCCATCAGAAACAATCACCGGCACACCCCTCCCTGGCAACCAGCACAACCTAACCAAGGCCATGATCGTCCTCCACAGCAACCTCGAGCACAAGGTAACCCCGCCCTCCCTGTCGGAGAAATCAGAGTCGTTGCAGGCGGACTTGTTTGTGGAGGACCATCTCGCTCGACTCAGCGGACAGAACTCAAAAAAATAAGATAGGGTTCAGACAAAGAAGTTGCCACATTGGACCGCCCTTCCAAACAGCCCAAACAATGGATGAA